GGTCAGCGGTTCAAACCCACCAGCCACTCTGAGGAAGGAAGATAGGGCAATCTATTTCTGTAGAGATTTACAGCCTCAGAAACCCAATGGGGACCGCCATGAGTTGGAATTGACTTGATAGTAATGAGTTTTTTTTTTTTGTTTGTTTTATTCTAGACATCCTTTCCCTCCATAAGGAGCCAAAGTTCCTTAGAGAAATGGCTAATTCCAGCTCTAGAGCAAGACTTACCAAGATGTGCTTGAAACATCTTGTCACTCCAGAAAGCAAGAAAGCTACTAAAGACTACCAGAGTTGTATCAAAAGAACTCAGAAACCAATTTGAAGAGGCTCCTACTGGCCAAAGATGGGACAATTTGAACATCAATAAGAATAACAACTGCCAAAGACTGAAGCACAACCAATATTTTTAAATCCATGTATTTCTAATGATACTAAAAAACCAGAAATGAAGACTTTTAAAGGATGGTAGTGAAGAGAATCATTATTCTGGAAACTGATAAAGTATGAAGAGTTATCTTGCCTTTTCTATATGACTCTATCTCAGGAAAGCCAAATAGCAGATGAAGAGAACTTTCTCTTTACAGAAGTATTCCAGCAATAAATGGAGAAGGAAAAATATAGAACATCATTATTTTACAATCGCTAATGAAATAAGGCACTTATCTAATGATCATACATGGGCTAAAAGCAGGTGATCAGACAGTATAAGCCTGTTGACTGAAGTACACACCACCACTGAAGAAAATACTCTTGCCAAACCTGTATCTGGTCAGCCTTCTAGTTCTAATTACTAATTTACAGGCAATGCAGGGAGCAGAGAAATATAAACTGCCACAGGATGCAGTTAGCTAAGTCTCAACTGTGGAAAGCAACAGGGCAAATGAGCCACAAATGGCAAGAAAAAAATGAAAAGGGGAGGAAGTGGGGAAAACTATGGATTAACAAAGGCTTAAAAGATATAACCAACTGCAATGGAAGAACCTATTTGGAGCCAGACTCAAACAAATCATGAAGATAAATGATGAGATAATGAGGAAAATCTGAACACTGGATATTTTATAATATTAATGAATTATTATTTTAGGAGTAATAATTGTGGTTATAGTTTTTAAATGTCTTCAGTAATCACACTAAAATATTTATGAACGAAATAATATAACATCTGAGATTTGCTTATAAATAATCAAGAGTTGAGGCTAGATGTAAGCAATGAGGGTAAAGATGACACAAAATTCTCCTTAAGTTGATCACTGCTAACGGTGAGTGATGGGTACACAGTGATTCATTATCTTATTGTCTCTACCTTTTCTTAAGTTTGAAAATTCCCATGAGAAAACGTTATAGACAAAGGAAAAAGAAAAAATTGTACCAACTTATTAGCCTGGGTTTAGTGAAGTAAATAAGGAGCCAGGGTGGTGTTTGGCTGCTAAAGGAAAGGTCAGTAGTTCAAACCCAACAGCCGCTCCATGGGAGAAAAGACACGGCAATCTGCTCCCATAAAGATTTTGGTCTAGGAGACCCTATATGGCAGTTCTATTCTGTCCTATTGAGTCATTATGAATTGGAATTGACTCAATGGCATAGAACAACAGTAATATAAATGATTAGAAACTAGCCCCATCTGGTTTAAGCAGTATGTGGACTGATCAAGTCAATTCAACCTAACTCCTTATGAAATAAGAATGAGCAATAGGAAATAATAATTAATGAAACTTATTATAGGAGCTCTGATGGTGGAGGGCCTAAGGCATTTGACTGCTAACTAGCATCCTGGCAGTTCAAACCCACCAGCCACCCTTCGGAAGGAAGATTGGGTGATCGATCTTCTTCTGCAGTGATACTGCCTTGGAAACCCAAGGAGGGGTCGCTATGAGTTGGATGCAACTCGAATGCAGTGCATTTTTACTATAGGTCATAAGGAGCTCTGGTGGCTTAGTGCTTAAGGCTTTTGACTGCTAACCAGAAGGCTGGTGGTTCAAACCTACCAGCCACTCCTCAGAAGGATGATTGGGCAATCTACTTCTGTAGTGATACCACCTCAGAAACCCAAGGAGGGGTTGCTATGAGTCAGATCCAACTTGATGGCAGTTGAGTTTGGTTTTTGGTTTATAGGTCATAAATATTGGATACTTTACAAATAGTATCTTAGTAAATACCAAAAAGCACTCTAACAATAACCTGTGAGGTATGTTTTATTATCAGCACATAACAGATGGGGAAACTATATCTTCGAGATCTGAGTAATTTCCCTAGCATCATCTTGCTGGTTAGCTGTAGAGCTGGGATTCAAACTATAAAAGATTTATTCATTATATTATACCAGGCTGCCTCTAGGGGTGCATTATATCAATGTAATGAAACCCATGTGAAAATTTTCACTCCAGATTAGTAAGTAAGCACAAGTAAGCCTGTGCTTACCTTGCTTACTGGGTACTCTGTCCCTGTCAGGGATTGTAAATTTGAAAAGAGGCTTTGATTTTGTACGAAGGTGCTGTGGGGTTGGGGGAGAGACAGATGTCAATCGTACATAGAAGCAGAATCTTTGATGTGGTGAAAAAATGTGAAATGTTCACTACTAATTAATAAGTAAGCCAAAGTAAGATCATGCTTACCTTGCTTATTGGGTAATCTGGTACTGCTCAAGACACAGGAAAGGGAACGGAAAAGACAGAGCTGGATCTTGTTGTTGTTATGTGCCATCAAGACCGACCCGACTCATAGCGACCCCTCCTTGGGTTTCTGAGGTGGTATCATTACAGAAGTAGATTGCCCAAGCTTCCTTCTGAGAAGTGGCTGGTGGGTTTGAACCGCCAGCCTTTCGGTTAGCAGTCAAGTGCCTTATGCACTACGCTACCAGAGCTGGGTCTAGGATGAGACAAACAGGTGCCTATGGAGCAAAATTTAAAGAGAGGCTCATTTTCAGGTGGCAGCTTTTGATGAGCAGGAAGTGAGAGCTTTCTTAAATCTGTACTCTAGTTCCTTGCTTCAGCTCAGTCCCTGCCCTGGGAAAAGACCTTCTTTAATAATCTGCTTTCTCAGCAGCCTCTACAGTGAAGGCTAGGACAGAGTAGAACTGCCTCACAGGGTTTCCTAGACTGAAATCTTTATGGGAGCAGATTGCCAGGTCTGAATGAGCACTGGAGAAAGCAGCGCAGGGTTGAAGGCCTGGTGCCAGCTGCCCAGCTGCAGTCCACTCACTGTCCTCTGGGGTCTCTGCTGTCACCTATCAGTCTGGTCATATAGGGCTCCCGAAGCAGCCAACTCATGTTTTCAGAATTAGTGTTAGCTCCAGAAAAAGCTGTCTCACCCTGAGGTACAGGGCTGGAGCAGGGTAGTCCAATAATTAACTTTGGAGGCCCCTGACAGTGGACCAGGACTTTGTACAGTACAAGATCATTTATGTATTTCTTTTTTGTCAGGGTTGTTCTAGAGTAGAACCAAACCCTCACCTCACAGTCACTAGTGGTGAAGCTCTCCTGGCTTTCCTCAATACATGGTTCAATGCCTGTCATAAAGGGTTTTAACAGAGAGTTATTTGGTTATTGAGAAGAGGCTTGCTCTGGTGGGATAGTGGTTAAAGCATTTGGCTGCTAACCAAAAGTTCAGTGGTTGGAACCCACCAGCCGCTCTTTAGGAGAAAGATGAGGCAATCTGCTTCTGTAAAGATTTACAGACTTGGAAACTCTGTGGGAGCAGTTCTGTTGTTGTTAGGTGCCATCAAGTGGGTTCTGACACATAGGGACCCCTACATACAATAGAAAGAAACAATGCAGTTTTACTCTTGTCTTCTGGTAGCACAGTGCTTAAGGTACTTGACTGCTAACCAGGGGCTGGGGGTTCAAACCCACTAGCCACTCCTCGGAAGGAAGGTTGGGCAATCTACTTCTGCAGTGATACTGCCTTGGAAACCCAAGGAGGGGTTGCTATGAGTCAGGTCCTACTCAATGCCACATAACAACAACAACAAAGGGTTACTGTGAATTGGAACTGACTTGAAGGCAGTGGGTTGGTTTCTGAGTACAGGTGGTTTTGAGACAAAGGATAAAAACATTAAACATATACACCAGCTATTCTATTCTGTGGGAGCTCTGCCAGCATAGTGGCTAAGGCACTTGACTGCTAACCAGAAGGCTGGCAGTTCAAACCCACCAGCCACTCCTTGGAAGGAAGATGGGGCAATCTACTTCCGTAGTGATACTGCCTTGGAAACCCAAGGAGGGGTCACTATTAGTCGGGTCCGACTCGACAGCACATAACAACAACAACATTCTATTCTGTATGGTCAAGGGGCTACTACCCCACATGAGGCTCTGAAACACTAGAATAACAACAGGATGGATGTGTGCTCTGCTCAAGGGACCTCAGGCCATGAATAGCTAAGAGGTGGCAGCCCAGCTCTGACAAATGTTCCCTGCTATCTGGTATTCAAGAGGAGTATGGGACAGAAGTCAGGGCTCCCCAGCCTTTTGTGCTTCTCACGTGTTCATGACCCAAAATTATATATTCTCTGCTATGGCTACTGTGGAATTCTACTCATAGCAGCCCCTCCTTGGGTTTATGAGGCAGTATCTCTACGGAAGTAGACAGCCCAGTTTTCTTTCTGAGGAGTGGCTGGTGGGTTTGAGCCGCCAGCTTTCTGCTTAGCAGTCAAATGCCTTAGGCACTACGTCACCAGAGTTTGATTTTTTTGGTTTATGACTACTGTAGGTGCTCATCTAAATGTACGCATTCAGCTTAAGTAGGGGGGATACACTCTATGCACAGCTACTTGGAAACTGTCAAAGGCATTTGTTCAAACAAAATACAAATACTTGTATGCTGAAGCCTGAATAAATTAAGGTAGAAGTTGTCAGGACTCAGTATTTCTTACTTACATTACATCATCATCAATCAATGTTATCAATGATAACTTCAAGGCAAATGCTCACTGGAGATGATTCAAGAGATGGTTACGGAAATCAAGCCCTACCCTCAGATACCTAAAGAATCATGTCCTTACATGGAATAGACAGTGATGCCTTCCCTCTCCTCGATCTTAACACTTTCATCACTGGGAACTGGAGGGTTGCTCTGAAATTGGTTTGGAATCCGGAACCAGACTTTTAGTTTCTTCTGTAGGGAGCCACCATCACCGGGGAACACGGCAAAGGAAATAGGGACTGTCATTCCCATCCCAATTCCTGAAAACATAGAAACCCAGAGTGAAGTCAGTATCAGGGACAGAACTTGCTCACACCTGTGTAAGATCTAATAGTCTCATTCTTTTAAGATAATATTTTTTGTTCTTAAAACTAATAATAAACTTTTCAGGTATAAGTGTAGTCACTTACACACAAACACCTCTTATTTTTATACGTTAGCAGTAGCAGTGTAGTATAGCTGCAGCGATGGACTCAAATATACCAATGGTCATAAAGATGGTGCAGGTCAGGGCAACATTTTGTTGTGTTATACACAAGGCTGCCACCAGTTGAAGCTGACTCAGCAGCAACTAACAGCAACAGTAACAGTATGTAGTGGCACAAGTCCTTTGGAGAAATTATTTGGCAATATATATCAAGACCATAATATATCTGTATCCAATGACTTTACACCTAAAAATCAAGTTTAAGGTAATAATCCAAAATATGGAAAAGGCTATGGCCTTAAGAATATTAATTGGTCCAGAATTTATAATTATGGAAAACTGGGAATCATATAAATGCTTAAAGCAGAAATATGCTTAACTATAGTCTCATGATACAATGTAGTATACTATTATGTTTAAGACAACTATTCAGCAACAGTGGAAAATAATCCCAAAATATTAAGCACAATTGCACAAACACTATGACTACATTCAAAAGCCTATGAAAAAGTACATCCAAAAGACAAGGACTGTATTAGAATGGAGGGATTATTTAATCATATATATATATATATGACCTCTGCTGGTGTAGTGGCTAAGGCATTTGACTGCTAACTAGAAGCCAGAAGGCTGGTGGTTTGAACCCACCAGCCACTCCTCAGAAGGAAGATTGGGCAATCTATTTCTGTAGTGATACTGCTTCAGAAACCCAAGGAGGGGTCGCTATGAGTTGAATCCAACTTGACAGCAGTGAGTTTGGTTTGGGTTTGGTTATATGTGTATATGTGTATACACACACACACACACACACACATATACACAAAGTATGACAAAGTGCTAAGAAGAAAAAGATTTCTTTTTGACCTTCTACTCATCAATGTATTTTTCCCATGTGTCCATGACCCTAAATTAGGTATTCTCTGAATCTCCCAGACTCTGCTATGGCTAATGTAGATGCTCATCTTAATGCAGATCTGATCCTAAAAATGTTCCTAAGGTTAATGCCAGTTTCTAACTTTTTAAGTTACCAGCTTGAGAAATATCCTAAAAATTAAAATGATGTCTCTTCTTTTCACCTTCTTCCTGATCCATTTTTGGTATGTAAAGATCCCAAAGTGCAGTCCAAAATAGAGAGTTTCTTAAGAGTCAAGTTCATATTTAAATCTGTGTTATAAACAAACAGTTACATCTTGCATGAACTTTCAAGCCTGCCATTTAAAATTCAGGAGGTAGCCAGCATAACTGCTAAGTCTCTAAAGGTGGGCAGCCTAAGAATTCTCAGACCCCTCATGTTGACTATTTGCCAGAACAGAGCCTGGAGGCTTCCATAGTTGTGGCTCACTCAGCCTCAATACCCAGCAGAATCTGAGCTCTCAGGGGGCTGACTCTAGAGATTTTCAGCCTGGTGCGAAGGTCTCAAATCAGAAGGTGGCCTCGCCCTGTGGCTTGGTTTACTGGGGCATGCTTCACCTAGCCAAACAGTTCAAAGGCTTGATAAGCAGTGTAGGCTTTAAAAACAATAGAGAATATGGCTCCTTACATGGGGGGGAAGCATGAACTCAGTAAGACTGAGTAGGGATATTGCAAAGTGAAGGGGGAAGGCTGGTCTGATGTCAGGGTGGACTTTCCAGAGCTTCCTTCAATAAACTGCTGCACATGTAGCACAGATGTTCATGTACCACTGAAACAGGTAGTGGCAGGGGCCCTATGGACCTTTCCTGGTGCTTTCTACTGATAAAGAGAGAGCATGAAAAGCTAGCCTTAGAGACCAGAGCCACTCACCCTTGTCATTGGTGCCTCCCACATACTTCATGACTTTGGGCATTGCTTCCCGCAGAGCCTCATCTACAGGCTTATCCACCACCTCTACTGTGGCAAATTTCCCACCTTCACAGGCTCTTTCCTCGTAGGAGATGTCTTCCTAGAAAAACAGAATACACCGTGTTTAAGAGATACAAAACACCAACCTGGGATATATCTATGAGGAATAAGAGTCCAGTTACCAGAAGCACATATAAGGAACTTTTGATAAGGAGTCTGGGTATAGTGATAGGATAGAAGAGACAAACTAGAGTATGAAGGCCCACTAGAGCCTAGGGTTTCTATAAACGTAAAGACAATGTTGGAAGCAGAAGAAAACTTCATATAATTAATATATTCAAAGAAATATGAGAAGATAGTGTATTTACAAAACACGAGAAGCTATAAAAAAGAAATATTCAGAGAACAAAAGAGTTATTGCAAATTAAAAATGTGATAGAAATGAAGACTTCAGAAATAAGACTGGATGATAAAAGCTACTAGGAGCTCTGGTAGCATAGTGCCTAAGGCACTTGACTGCTAACCAGAAGTCTGGTCAGCACTCCTTGGAAGGAAGGTTGGGCAATCTACTTCTGTAGTGATTCTGCCTCGTAAATCCAAGGAGGGGTCGCTATGAGTTGGATCCAACTCCATGGCAGTGTGTTTATCATTTTTTTGGTTTTTGATAAAAGCAGGAACTCTTCTAGAAAGCCAAAAAAAGGGGTGAAAAATAGAAGAGAAAAGAAAATCAAAGGATCAGGAGATCCAACATCCGAATAACAGGAGATCCAGAAAAAGAGAAGAAAAAAACTGGAAGTGAGGAAATAAAGAAATACAACAAGAACAAAATCTCCTAGAACTCCAAGACCCTAATATTATCCTTATTCTAGTAGCAGGGCTGTAATTCAAGAAGAATAAGAGAAGTTTTGTTCACACTGTGCTCCCAGATATAATGCCCTCTCCCCATCTCATATCTCACCAAATCATACCCATCACTCCCCTAATGCTCAGTTCTGCTGTCACTCCCTGAAGAAATTCCTCTATTCCTGGCAGTTATCCCCTCTCCTCACCACAACTCTGTGCACTGAGTCTCAGTCCTGAGATCACTATCCCTTCCCTGGTGATAATTACTTACGGACTCCTATTCTCCCTCCCCTTCCCACTTCTCCTCCTTAACATTTGATAATCACATATGATGGTTTTGTATCCTGACTATACTGAAAGGCAGTGTTTTTAAAACTTTTTAGAAATCACAATCTACATCAGGAAATATATTTTTATATTATAACCTATCATGAACAAAGGAGCCCTGGTGGCAAAATGGTTAAGCGCTTGGTGGCTAACTTAAAGGCTAACTTAAAGGTTGGAACCCACCAGTGGTTTTGTGGGAAAAAAGACCTCACAACCTGCTCCCATAAAGATTACTGCTTTGGAAATTCTATGAGGTGGCTCCACTGTGTCCTGTAGGGCTGCTATGAGACAAAATTGGCTCAATAGCAACAACAACATTATGAACCACATACATGATGTTGTTTCACAAAATAACACCTTATTGATGGGATACATTCTGATACTTTCCCTTTATCCTCATCCTGCTTAAGTCTACTCTACTCTTCTGAAGTCAGTTTTACTATATTCCACTGAAAGAAGAAAAAGTTGGTTTATAATAGATTTCACTATTTGGTAACAGAACACTACTGAAGTATGAAAAATCTGCTATGAGGTCTCTGTGGAAATGAACTGTACCACAGAGCTAGATGCTCAATAGATATTTATTTATTGATTAAGGGGCTGTCTATGCCACTGTTTATGAAAAACAGACACATAACAGAGGACCTCGCTGCCCTAGGCTGGAAGAACAGGCCTTCCTATGACATCCTACACAGAAGACTCAACCAGGGATGGGGGTGTGACCACCCCTCCCCAGGGGGACATAAAGAATCTTTGGAGGCAAGTAGGATTGTAAGGCTATGAGTGATCTGGGTAATGTGAAAAAACATATATAATATTACAATTTTATGCTTGGAATGCAAAAAATCCCTATTGTTTTGGTCAAGCAAAATTAAGGGAAGTTTTACGCCTAAAAAGGAACATGGGTTTAAAAAGCATGTAACTTTTTTTTTTTTCTTCATATTCTCATATATTCATGCAAGAACTAAACAGGATGGTATGAGAAAGAGGTCAGGGAAATCTGAAAGCAGATCCTGAGGCCAGCTTCAGTCCCTTTTACATGGTTGTGAGGTTCTCCACTCTGTGAGTCTGACACTTTCAAAGAGTCTTTCAGTAGCACAAAGTGTTATGCAAACTGAGGGTGTTTTGCTCTTTTCTGGCTCCTTCTGTCCTTCACAGAAGAGAATTCTAGAGCTTGCTCTTTATTTGAGACCCCATTGATTCTCACCACTTGTAGTATTTTAAATTTTGAAATGGTACTCTGTGAACCATAGAATTTCAGACTTAAAGGGGGTTTTAAAGTTTGTCTAACACAACTAATTTTATCAAAGAGGAAACTAAGAACCAAAGAGATCATATGGATACTAAATGGTGGAAAGAGAATTCAAGTCCCACAACCCCAGTATAATGCTATTTGCAAGAGAGTATTTGTTGTTGTTGTTGTTGTTATGTGCTGTCGAGTCGGCCCCGACTCATAGCGACCCCTCCTTGGGTTTCCGAGGCAGTATCACTACGGAAGTAGGATTGCCCAACCTTCCTTCCGAGGAGTGGCTGGTGGGTTTGAACCGCCAGCCTTCTGGTTAGCAGTCAAGTGCCTTAGGCACTATGCTACCAGAGCTCCTGCAAGAGAGTATACTGCTGTAAAAAGAAGCTCTGGTAGCACAGTGCCTAAGGCATCTGACTGCTAACCAGAAGGTTGGTGGTTCAAACTTACCAGCCACTCTGTGGAAGCAAGACTGGGTAATCTACTTCTGTAAAGATTTACCGCCTTGGAAAACCAATGGGGGTCACTGTGAGTTGGAATCAACTTGATGGCAGTGGGTTTGGTTTTAGTTTTAACTGCTGTGAGGCATGAAGTGAGCCACTGAGTTAGTTACTTTGGGCAGACATTTGTAAATAAATGTCAAATTCAGATTAGGGGCATCAGAAATCATTTTATACATAAATGGAGAAACCCAACAAGTATTACATGAGATCAACCCAGAAATCTGGCTCTTTCCTTTGGTCTTTTTTTTCCTTCTTTCGTTCATATAACCAACAACTACTGAGCATCTACTATGTACTGTGCCAGGTGCTATGATATGGAGATCAAAGACATGTCTTGGGCATCAGGAGATGCCTGGCCTAACAAGGAAGTAGGTAGGAAAAGAGAAAGTTATAATCTGATGAAATAGTCACAACAATGCACTCAAACATACCAATGGTCATGAAGATGGCACAGAACAAGGAAACATTTTGTTCTGGTATACATAAGGTCGCTACGAGCAGGAGCTGGCTCTACAGCAACTACCGACAGCATAATCTGATGATACGTTTCATGGATGCCTGGGCAGTGTGGGAACACAGGAGAGGGATACTTAGGGTAGTGGGGCTGAGTGGGAGTGTATGTTCTTGTGCATCATTCATTTGTTAATTCAGCCATTGATTCATCGAATAAACATTTATTGAAAGCCTCTGCCAGGTGTTACCGATTGGAGATTAATATGATATGGGCAGTTCAACTGGGTGGTGAGAAGAATTACATAAACAACTCTTACATTTTTGTGATATTAGGTGCCATCTAGTTGATTCCAGCACAGAGTGACCCAATGTGACAGAGCAGAACTGCCCCATAGTTTTCTTGGTTGTAATCTTTATGCGAGCAGATCACCAGGTCTTTCTCCCATAGAGCCAAACCACTAGCTTTTTGGTTAGCAGCCAAGCACTTAACTGTTGTGCCACTAAGTCTCTCTGTAGAATTCTTATACAATGTGGAAAATGCTGATAATTTAGGGAGGGGATTCTAGGAAACTAGCATCACAGGAGTAAAAGAGAAGAGGTCAAGAACACTACAGTGTGGGCAAAGAATACAGATGTTTAACTGTGACTGGAAAAAGACTGTCAGCACATAGTGAGTGATGAGAACAGAAAGACTGGTAAAGGGCTAGATCCTAGGACTACTTACCAGCTATCATAGTTAGCTGGATTTTGTGACTTATAGTCAAGTTGTGGAGATATGATGCTAAGCTAGTTTTATCCATCCTAAATTAGTTCAACTGACTTTTGTGACCTAAATATAGGATTTCCCAACTATGTCTGAGTCCTGAGTGGGAGGGTCCTGGTAAGAGAAAAGAGCTCTGGGAAATGGGATAGGTGATCTGTGCTCTCATTCTGTTCCCTAGTCAGAAAGTCCACAGCAAGGAGAAAAAAGGCTGCCAAGAGAGCAAGCCACTTTCATCCCAATAGCCAAAGCCACAATATTGAATCTACCATACTTCAAAATGCTTGGCTCAGCCCCACCTTCTCCTCCTGAGTAATCCCTCTTTCCTATGAACTCCAAAAGTCAGATAATGCTAGAGGCAGAAGGGCTCTTGCATACCCATCAGTTTATCTGTTACAGACGAGGGAACTGTCCACTGAGCAGTTGGACCCATAGGGCTGGAGCTCTGCACAAGTTTGGTATGGAGATATAAATTTGTAAGACATTAGCATAATCGGTGAGTAAAGCCATGAGTGAGGGTGAGATTACCCAGGGAACATAGTATGCTATGTAAATCTACTCATGTTAATGAATTCCCTGTCTCAATGCCTTAATTCACCAAGTTCTTAACCTACTTCTGATGGTATAAGCACTACCTAGCTTCTACTTACCCTGCCAGCCATACCCAGAGCATCTCATCACTGGTCTTCTGCTATTTCCTGCAATGCTCACGGTTATCCCCACCTCAGGGCTGCTGCACCTATTGCTTCCTTGGCCTAAAGTATTCGTCTCCATTCTGCCTGAAAAATCCCTACTTATCCAACAGGTTCTAACCCAAAATCACTTCCATAGAGACGATCTAATTTAAAACAGATTCCCCAAAATAGTTTTTTACAGGTCCTTGTACTTCAACAGAAGGTGGTGTCTTGGTACAGTGGTTAGGCATTCAGCTGCTAACCAAAAGGTCAGTGGCTTGAACCCACCAGTTTCTCTGTAGGAGAAAGATGAGACAGTCTGCTTCCATAAAAGATTTATGGACTTGGAAACACTGTGGGGCAGTTCTACTCTGTCCTACAGGGTTATTGTAAGTTGGAATTGACTCAATGGTAGTGGTTTTTTTTTTTTTTTTTTTTTTTCTTTTTTTTCAGTTTGGTACTTCAGCAGCACAATAATTATTGTAATTACAATTAAATAATGATGTGTGTGGCACCCTCACCATCCCCCAACTCTAGGCCTAAGGAGGTCAGGGACTGTTCGTTTTATTTACCACTGTCTCTTTCAGCCTCTAGCACTGCAAATTTCATGAAGTAGGCATTCTCTAAGTATCTGTTGAATGAATATAGTGGAAAAGGAAGGCTGGCAAGTGAAACTTGGTATTACTCTAATGACAAGGAATACAACAGCCATAACTGAGTCAGTGATGTGAACCTAGCCAAATTGCATCTATCCTGGAGAAAAGCTGGGTCACAATGTCTTAAACTGGTTCTGCTGCAGGTACCAGCTGTTTTCACAGCAGCTATATCTATAACCTCTCATAGGAACCACTGGGACACTGAAAATTCAGGCTGAGCGATGGATATTATAAAATGATTCTTGTTTTCCAGGGAACTGAATTTAAATGCACTGCTATTTCTGTAGAGAATAAGGAACCTAAGTTAACACAATCTTGATTCTTAAAATTTAATATTCTCAGTGTATTAGTGTTTTCAAATGGGTCATGCTAATAGTCCCCTCCTGCCCATATCCAGCTAGCACAAACTCCAATCAGTTACAAGATGAAGATTTGGGCCTGTGATTTCCAACATTCAGCAGGAACCCTGGTCAAGTTCCAGAAAGAGGTCTTTCAAGCATGCTATGGGATTTGTAAGGTCCTCTAAGGTCCTTGTAAGCCTAAGGCACTTGACTGCTAACCAGAAGGCTGGCGGTTCAAACCCACCAGCCACTCCTCGGAAGGAAGGTTGGGCAATCCTACTTCTGTAGTGATACTGCCTCGGAAACCCAAGAAGGGGTCGCTATGAGTCGGGGGCGACTCGACGGCAAATAACAACAACAACAACAACAACTGGAAGGCTAGTTTTTCCTTGTCACCTGATGTGGGATATCTCTAACACGTTGATTTTGGAAGCCAGCTTTTTCATCACAAGAAAATATTAACGATAATGAAAATCAACCTAACTGAGTAATTTCTATGTGTTAAGTGTTATTTAAAATACCTTACATAGATTCATTCAACCAATCCTTCTAACAACCCTATGAAGCAGTTAGTGCTTCTATTCCTATTTTCAGATGAAATTGGAGCACAAGAGGTTAAGTAACATGCCCAAGTTATAGCAGGCAAGTAGTGGAGCCAGGATTCAAACCCAAGCAGTTGAGTCCTAATCAATGTGCCCAGGCTAGATGCAGTTATTAATATCAGTCTTACTCTGGATATCCACAAGGCCCACCCAATCCACCACAGAGAGCTGTGTATCCTTCTCCCTCCTTGAGCAATGCAGAAGGCACCTGATAAGGTCTGTAGGAGACTGGACCAAGTGCACAGAATCAGTCCTGAACATTTGGTGAGCCTAAAGCCTGTGCGACATGGGCAAACTTTGTGCCACCTATTTGCCCAGGAGAGTTGATGATGGTTTCTGACCCAGATGCTTTCCAGATAACAGAGATCATTATTTTAGGGAGAGGTTCTCTTCAAAACAGTAACACTTTGAATTTATATATATATATATATATATATATTTAAAAGTGTACAAGTATCTTTGAATATTTAATTAATTGCTACATAGGCATTATCATTCTCGTTTTACGCTTACAGAATCCGAGGATTGAGTGGGTAAGAGGTTAAATAACTTCCCCTAAATTACTGTAAAACTAAGGAGAAGAGAACTAACATTACCATGGTCAACCAAGTGTTAGGTATTCTGTTGAACAATTTATAACTGGTTAGTTCATTTAAACCTCAGAACAATCATATAAGGTATGGATTCTTATTTTCTCTTATGATTAGCTCCAGAGAGCTATGGCCACACAGCTAATAAGAATGGAACAGTTGACATAATAATACTATATTTATAGTGTGCGATGCAATACAGCCTATAAACATTTTCTTGTTTTTAAAAATATTTAACAACTTAACATTTAATTATTAAAACAAGTACAAACTATTAAAACAAGTACAACAAGTACAGTGGTTAAAGTGCTTGGCTGCTAATCAAAAGGTCAATGGTTTGAACCCACAGCCACTCCACGACAGAAGATGTAGCAGTCTGCTTCTGTAAAGATTACAGGGTTGGAAACCCTACAGGGCAGTTCTACTCTGTCCTACAGGGTTACTATGAGTCCGAATTGACTCAATGACAGTGGGTTTTTTTTTTTTTTTTTTGTCAACAGTTATCACTGACATAGTTGCTCTACTCAAAATAATAGCTTCACCTCTAACTTTCCCTATTCCCTACACCCCTCCCATTTCTCTTTGCAGCACTCATCACCATCTGACACATGATATACTTCCCTTATTTATTTGTTCATTATCCACTAAAGTGTAAACTCCATGACGGCAGGGATTTTTGTCACTTTAGCTTTATCCCCATTGCCTAGAAGAATGGCTAGCACAAAGCAAATAGTTATTTATTGAATGAATGAATTTTATACTGGAAAATTTCACATGAAGAATCTAGATTTCTGGATTTTTTGAAAATATCAGATTTGGCAACATTACTCTATGGTAACTACAGGCTGGCGTTGCCCTTTTTAGATGAATCCTGAGCTCACTCTCCAGTTTATCTCAGTCCCCACCAAGCCTTGTAGTCTGTAACAATCGCCTTCACTCATTTCTACCACCTACGTGGCTGCTGTAAGCACTGGATATGTGATCCTTGATCAGGACCAAACTGCTCATTCTACACATAGTTGGGAAAACTGAGATACAGTCAGATGAAGTGACAGGCCTCTGGCTACACTTGCTGGAAAAGTCTACACTAGCTGCCTAGTTCAGTGATGGTTACTGTACTGGTACCAAAGCTTGTTATCCAGATCACAGAGTCCTTTAACAAATCAGGCATTGTGCTGGGAGCTTGGGTGTACGGTGACGAACGGCAATAAGTACCTGTCTGCAAGAAGATTAAAATCTAGCGGTTGTTACTGTGTGCTATCAATTAGTTTCCAAATCACAGTGACTCCATGTGACAGAGTATAACTACCGCACAGAGCTTTCCTGGCAGTAACCTGTATGGAAGCAGACTGCTAGGTCTTTCTCCCCTTGAGAGCTGTTGGGTGGGATCGAACTGCCAACTTTTCAGGTGGTAGCTGAGTGCTTAACTGATACACCACCAGAGGTCCTTTATTTTAGGGGAGTAGCCAATTTATAAGTATCAGCATCATGTGGAATCCCTGTGTGGTGCAAACGGTTAATGCCTGACTGCTAACCAAGTTTCAAGTTCACCCAGAGGAGCCTCGGAAGAAAGGCCTGACATCTACCTCTAAAAAATCAACCACCAAAAACCGATGAAGCACAGTTTTACTCTGATACACATGGGGTTGCTATGAGTCAGAATCAACGCCATGGCTACTGGTTTATTACTGATGTAAATTTTGGGGAATACAGCTGTCACTCATCCTGTATTCTAGGCTCCCAACTCTGGGTCTTCCATTGGCCAACAAGCCATTTTGCAGCTCTGGGCCTTTGCACATCCTGTCTCTTTCCTGTGCACTCCTATACATCCTTCAAGGCCCAGCTCCTGTGAAGGCCCCATATTCTACTGGCTGAACTGATTACTCTGATCTCTGTGCACCCAGGCTTTGCACATTTACTGCCATCACTGCATAGATCTCCAGTAGCTGGGAGTTTCTTGAGGATAGAGTGTTTCTTACCAAAGAGATGTCTGGAATGAATGAACCAATGAGTTCAACAGGCTGTGTCCAATTCTCCAAGGTGGGATTTTCCCCTCAAATCAATGTTTCTCTGTCCCCCTTCCTCCCACCTGTGCTCTGTGCCCCACAGCACCCTACCTCTTTCTCCCCTCCTTCTCAACCCAAGTGCACGGCATTAGAGGACCTTTCCTTTCTCACCCAGAGCCAGAACCACCATAAAGCACACCCAGGGCTCATTCCTCCCCCACCTATCTCTCAGAACCTTTCCTTGCTCCAACCAGAGTGGGGCTAGGGGTGGGCGCAAGTCTCTTTCACGTCCCCACAACCATAAGGGCCTACCTTGGCCCCTTTGCTTAGGATCTGCCAAGGCCATGTCTCTACGCTCCCAAACAGCGAATTCCTTATCATGCCCAACATGATGGTGCCGCGACGCTCCGGACGTAGGGACTGACGCAGGGCAGCAAGGGAGGCGGGAAGCTAGGCAAGCAAAGCCAGCAGGAGCCTTGCTGCGTGGCGTGTCGGCTCCGCCCAGCTGCAAGGCGTTCCAAGAGGCGGGCCGGGCTGGGTGCGCAGCTCACGTAGGAAGCAGCGGGGGGTCAGCGGAGGCGGGACAAGCTTCTCCAATTCTGGTTCCCGCCAGAGAGCAGGGCTTTGGGGCCAAGGCCTCCTGTCTCCTCCGCTGGCCCTCCGCAGTGGCCGCCGACCATTTTCTTACACTGAGTTTGATCTGTTCTTGGGTAACCTGGAAAGGGATTCTTTCTCTTTCAGGATTTAGGCAGCTGTGCTTTAGGGCCAATTCCGGCAGGAATTCTTCACCCCTTCTGTTTCTGTCAAGGAACCCTGGTGCCGCAGTGGTTAAGCACTCGGCTGCTAACCGGAAGTGTCGGCAATTCAAACCCAGTAGCTGCTCTGTGGAAGAAGAATGTGGCAATCTGCTTTATTACAACCTTGTAAACCCTATGGGGGCAGTTCTACTCTATCCTATAGGGTCGCTAGGGTCAGAATTGACTCCATGGCAATGGGTGTATTTCTGTCCACCCCACGGCTCTCTCAGATACTTGCGCCCCAGATTCTCCAGCTCTCTCCACACTAAGGTTCGGTTTAGGGCAGGGGCTGCATGGTGTGCAGTCTTGCTCCTCTACTGGCTTCAGCTCCCTCTCCTTCCCACGCCTACACACACCCGCCTGCTGCATCTCCACCAACATCTCAACTGACAGGTAGCCTAATTCTTCCGGTCCCCCATCCCCACCCCCGTCCCTCCATGGCTTCATATCTGGAAGACTGAAAGACCATCTTAACTCGTTTTCTACTTTCTTATTTCTTTTAGTCAATCCGTTTTAATCACGCAGGAACGCACTGCCATCGAGTCAGATCCGACCCATAGCGACCCCTTCTTGGGTATCCGAGGCGATATCACTAAGGAAATAGATTGCCCAACCTTTCTTCCCAGGAGTGGCTGGTGGGTTTGAACCACCAGCCTTCTGGTTAGCAGCCAAATGCCTTAGGCACTATGCTACGAACCACAGGTTCCACAGTAATTTTCCAAAGCTTGGCTTTGGTCAGTCTCTCATTCAATTCAAAACTTTCTAAATCTCCTTGTTATTGTTTTCAGTTGCTGTCCAGTGGGCTCTGATTCACGATGACTCCATGTACAACAGAACCAAATGTTAGCCCACTCAGTGCCATCATCACAGTGTTTTGAGTCCATTCCTGCAGCCATGATGTATTTTGAGTGCATTTCAGACCTAGGGCACTCATCTTCCACCATTATATCAGGCAACATCCTTTTTCTTTTTGAAAATTTTATTGTGATTTGAGTGAAAGTTTACTGAGAAAATTAGTTTCCCATTCAACAATCTATGTACATTTTGTTTTGTGATGTTAGTTGCAATCCCCTCAATGTAACAGCACTCTTTCCACTTCCTCACTGGGTTCCTGCTTCCATTTGTCCTTCTTGCCTGTCTCTTCCAGCCTTCTGAACTTTATTTTTGAGCAAATGCTGCCTTCTTGGTCTCCTGGGGTTGATTGCTCTGAGGAATACATACCTGATGGCTGTTACTGGTCACTTTATGTTGTTGTTGTTATGTGCCATCAAGCCGGACCCAACTCATAGCGACTCCTCCTTGGGTTTCCGAGGCAGTATTACTATGGAAGTAGATTGTCCAACCTTCTTTCTGAGGAGTGGCTGGTGGGTTTGAACTGCCAGCCTTCTGGTTAGCAGTCAAGTGCCTTAGGCACTATGCTACCGGTCACTTTATAGGCCTGTCTATTGTTTGGCTGAAAAGTGATCCCTGGGAGTGGATTCAGTTCCAGGTTTAAAGGGGGTTGAAGGGCCAAAGTCTTGGGGTTCCACCAGTCTCAATCAGACAAGTAAGTATGGTGTTTTTATGATTTTGAATTTTGTTCTACATTTTTCTCCTACTCTGTCCAGGACCTTATATGGTGATCTTGATAGGTTGGTAGTGGTAGATGAGTACCATCTACTTCTGGTCTCAGGCAAGTGGAGGCTGTGGTTTGCATGGTCCATTAGTCCTTTGGACTCTTTCCTTGAGTCTGATCTTCTTCACTATTCTTTGCTCCTGATGGGGAGAGACCAATAGTTGCATCTTAGATGGCCACTTGAAAGCTTTCAAGACTCCAGTCACTACTCACCAAAGTAAATTGTAAAACATTGTCTTTGTGGACTATGTTGTGCCAGTTGACCTCAGTGTCCCCTGAGACTATGGTCCTAAGTTCGTACGCTCAGTGTTTCATTCCCTCAAGGCATTTGGTTATGGCTAAGATGTTTTCATACTTACGTCCTCTGTGTGTGCTACTAAAAGACAGGGAAGGAAGAAAAGACCAAAATAGATGTCAGAAGAGACCCTGAAACTTGTTCTTGAATGGAGAGTAGCTAAAGTGAAAAGAAGAAATGTTGAAATAAAAGAGCTGAACAGAAGATTTCAAAGGGAAGCTCAAGAAGACAAAGCAAAGTGTTATAATGAAATGTGCAAAGACCTGGAATTAGAAAACAAAAAGGGAAGAACACTCTCGACATTTCTCAAGCTGAAAGAACTGAAGAACAAATTCAAGCCTTGAATTACAGTATTGAGGGATTCTATGGGCAAAATATTGAATGGTGCAGGAAGCATCAAAAGAAGATGGGAGGAATACACAGTCACTGTACCACAAAGAACTGGTCAACATTTAGCCATTTCAGGAGGCAGCATATGTTCAAGAACCAATGGTACTGAAGGAAGAAGTCCAAGTTGCATTGAGGAATTGGCAAAAAAAAAAAAAAAAA